CTGAGAACTGTCTGTCCGGGGTGGGGGTCGGGTCCCTTTAAGCACAGCCCTGGGCTAGCCTGAGACAGCATCTCCACGCTCTAAGTCCTCCTCTGATGCCCTGCTGGCACTGCTTCCGGCCATCTTTAACCCCGGTTCAGGGTCCACTTAATGTGGACATGCTAGTTCGAATTAGAAAAACACTAATTCGAACTAGTTTTTTAGTCTGGATGCGTTAGGTCGAATTAGCTTAGTTCGAATTAACTAATTCAAACTAAGTTAGTTCGAATTAACGTTGTAGTGTAGACGTACCGTAAGCTAATGCAGACTCGTCAATATTAATAAAAAATAACCCTCTTTTTCTCCGTAAACCAGTCCTGCCATTCACTCGTCTCCATATACCAGTCTGTTCCTAACTTCACTTTCAAAAGGAGAGGATGCAGTGGGATGCTATAATCATTAAAGTCTACATATCAATCACATATTTTTACATATGTGGGGGAATGTATGAGCCATGGGAATTACATGAACTAATGAACAAGACCACATAATTCCACAGTGAATCTCAGAATACCTTGAAATCCTCTTTAATAAATGATATCACTCGCTATCCCATGAGTTTTTGAAGTAACTTATGCAAAATCTCACATAACTGTGACAGTGTGATACTGAAACAAATCATTCCAGTATTAAAAACATATTGTTCCACTTTCTCTGTTAAATATATCTAATGACTTTTTAAATAACTTTGTTTTTAAATTATAAGAAATAGAATGCCGGCTCAGAATGAATTTTTCATAGAAAAGAAGACAATAAAAATGTTACTCACATTGCTATATTACTCTTGGGGTTTTCTGGAACACAGCACACAACTGATCTTACATACTCAGGCTATTATCTTAAAAGGCCTACCAGTTGTTGCAAGAATGAAATACTTTCCTTGCAAACATCTTGATAAGTGGAGATCTCCATAAAATCTTGTTCTGTTAATTCCCCCACCCTAAAATAGCTTCTTTCTTTTGCAAGATACAATCAGTTCAATTTTAATGCTGCCTGTCTAACACACTAAGGCTTAATATATACTGGAGTGGAGTGAGTTCAAAGAAAGAGCTTTCATACCTAGAGCTCCAAAGTGTTATGGTAATACAAATTAGTTTATTATTAATTTAACATTAATGAGTATTATTTTATAGGTCTGAACAGTTCACCTTTTTTATTCATTTGAATCCTTTTTTTGAGTTTTACAGTTTATTTTAAAATCTGCCCCCTGCCACACTCTTCAGTTGTATGGTGTAGTCTGTATGTGGGAAAAACAAATCCATCGGGATTTATTCTTATTTTTAATATATTTCTTTCAGGCATGCTTATGTCTCTTACATTACCTGATCAACCAAATATTTGCAGAAAGGTTTTGCTACAAGTATTAAAAAAGCATCTCTAACCAGACCCTTACACTGCGTGATTTCACTGGAAAATTTTTGTGAAAGGTCAATATTGTGATTTTTGTTATGGAATATTTCAAAATAAAAATAGAATTTTCATTTTGATTAGAATAGAATTTTTTGTTTCAATTTGACTTTGAAAGCCAAGTTTTCTCTGCCTGTATTTTTAATTATTTTCCTTCCCTTTTCACTCCTTTTTAAAATCCCCTCATCTCCATTGATAAAATAGATAAAATGAGGGTTCCCCCCCCACAAAAAATATTCTGTTGAAATATTTTACCAACTGTACCTGATTATCATAGGAATACATATAGTATCAATGACAAAAACATAAGTGACTAATGTCACTAAGCAACAGACCCGGAAATTTCAATTTCCGTTTTGAAATACCAAGTCATTGAGTTCATAGTTCAAAAATATTGCATTGAATACTCCAATAAACTTTCTTCAGAAAGCTGCAGTCTTAGCATAGACACCCTAAGAACAGAAAAAGAAATAAAATTCAGTAGATAACTTATTTGCTTTGAGTGATTGGCTCTTCTCTCATACTCAGAGCAGAAGTCGGTAAAACAAAAAGGTAAGATTTTTTTCCCAAAACTCATCATGAGTTCATTAACAGGCTATTAAATGAGCAGACAATGAACTCACCATCTCTGCCACAACTTGAGCTTCAGACTGATACACAGTCGCTTTGTATTAATGACAGTGATAATTCTAGAAAACCATAGTCCAGTAAATAAAATACCTATGGTACATTTAATATGAGATGGAAAAAAGATCTGCAGACTGTAGAACTGCATATATTCTTCCCAACTGTCATTGCCAGACCATTAGCACAGAGATTCCTCCAACCACGCCGGAAGGGGGGGTGGGGAGGGGAAGGTTACGAAAGGGCTGAAACATTTTTTTGTCAACATGAAAAGAGAAACAAATTTAAATTTTGTACCCTGGCAAAGAAAATAACCTTGTTTCCCCAAGAATGATTATTCAGGCAAGGCCTGGGTGGTTCAAAAAGGATGAGTTTCAAACATTTAAAAATGGTAAAACCTGTTTATCTGCTGCCTTTCCTTGAGAGGTTCTAAGCTGGCTGGATTTCTCAGCTCCATTCCACTCAATCTAAGAGCTACTCTTATCTAGTCGTGGAATGCTGTTGTATGACCCATGCTCCTCAGCTAAGATGTGAATTATTAACAATGAAACACTCACAGTGGGCTGCTTCCAATCACAAAAAGAGATTTTAAAAGTGCAAAAATATGTACAGTATATTTGGATAATACATACTTTTGAGGAGACTATAATTTATTTGAAGAGACTGTACAAGAATAAAAAAAGGCTACCTGGCAGTGGATTATCTCATGTGTTAGTTGATTTCAGAGCAATTGTAAAACCAGGATTTTGATAAGAATTTTAAGGCAAAACAGTTCTGTGGGTCCAATTATGCACATCACCTCATGAAGGAGTCTGTAAAACCAGTCTTTCTACCATGGGAGCCCTTCTGAGGTTGCACACTTGCCATAGAAATGTTGTTTAAATTTGTCTTGAATAATATATGAACACAAGGCTCAAAAACTATCACACCCACAGCTGCACTGATTGGAGGAACAGGCATGGCATGAATATTGCAAGGTCATGGCTCTATCCTATTCTGTGCTGGAGGGGAAGATGGTACCAAATGAGATAGGGAAGTTCATAATGAGTTGTCTAGCAGCTGATCTCCCTCCATGAGCAAAGACTCCCTGCCAGTGGCAGGAAACCACAGCCACAACTATGTTATCAGTAGTTACTTGTATGTATTCCTTGAACAAAGCCTATTATAAGGTTTAGGAGTTGATAATCTGATGACTATAAAATCATTGACTTCCATGAAGCTGCTCAGACATACATAAGCTGAGAATTTAACTAAATAGATATGGATTCAGGACACAGGATTTGGATGACCTCGGTTTGGATTTCAAAATCAAGTCCTCTTCTTGAAAGTTTGGGAATGCCATAAATAGACAAGCTTTCAAAGTCCTGGAATGTAATGAAATTGGCACATGTTTTTATAAAATCATTGACTTCCATGAAGCTGCTCAGACATACATAAGCTGAGAATTTAACTAAATAGATATGGATTCAGGACACAGGATTTGGATGACCTCGGTTTGGATTTCAAAATCAAGTCCTCTTCTTGAAAGTTTGGGAATGCCATAAATAGACAAGCTTTCAAAGTCCTGGAATGTAATGAAATTGGCACATGTTTTTATATCTACCCCTCTAAAAGCCATTTGCTCAGCTGTGAGTTCTTTGCACAGAATATAGCTGGGTTAGGGATCTTAAAATTAGATTAATCAACTAACCGAATACTCAATGGAATTTCCATTGACTATTTGATTAGTCAATAAGGGTGCTTCCACTTTGAAATGTAGCAAGAGCCTGCAAGGGCTTTTGTGCATTTCAAAGACTGAAGTGCTGCACAGAGTGCGGGGCCCGAGGGAAGTCCCCCGCTGACTCCAGGCTCCATGTGGCAATTCCGCTTTGAAATGTAGCAACAGCCAGGTAGGAAGTAGTTTTTCCATCCCTTTAAAAGTTTCAAGTTAGACAAATCAGCATTTTCTGAAGAAACATTTTATTGAAAAATTCCTGACCAGCCTTGGTATGCAGTGATTCCAAGTCTAGTATCTTTACCTGCTCCTATACCCAAGTGGCAAACAGACTCATTTTTCCAAGAATGGTGTCTCAGGCAAGACCTGATTGGCTCAAAAAGGAAAAGTTTCAAATATATTTCCAATTAATAAATCCTCCTTATCTGTTACTTTTCTTTGAGGGTGCATCTACACAGCAGGACTTAATTTGAAATAAGCTATGCAAATTGAGTCACATCAATTGATTAGCTTATTTTGAAATTGGGAGCATCCATTCAGCACTTATTTCAAAACAGAGCACACTTCCTCCAACTTACCTTACTCCTTGTACAATGAGGGTTATAGGAGTTGGAGTAAGAAGTCTTCCAGCTTGACAGTATTTCTACATTTTGAAATAACTAGCATTATTTTGAAATAACATAGTCCGTGTCCACACAGCACGCAGTTATTTCAACATAAAGTTGCTGTGTAGACATACCCTGAAAGATTCAAAGGAACCTTAGGCATAAAATTCTAAGTCTCACCTGCCTATTTGCTTTTTTTCTTTTATTTTATTTTCACTAACCTTCAATGGCCACATCTATGTTGTCTATTTTTTCCCCTGAAAAATTTTCTAGAGCTGCAGTGGAAAAGTGTTTAGGAAACCTTGGCAGAGACTAAGTCACTTTGCTTATGTGGCCTGACCTCTCTTCTTTCATTCACTTGGCACTTAATCCCCAGTCAGAGGAAATTCTAAGACTCGCTCACTTCCTTGCTCTATTACCACCTCACTTCAGCTGCCCACACAAACACAGCTGACAATTTTAATAAGGATTTGCTGAGTACAGGATTTAAGTAATGGGCAATGAATTTAGCACTAGCAGATGTAATAACTATAGTTATGCTTTTAATCCTACCAACCTTTCTTTAGATTGGATTAGAGATTTTAGTACTTAATTCAAATTCTCTACTTACCAAGAAAGGTGAATTTCTGACATCCTCTGAGTTAAAAACAAAAATAAAGAATGCTCCCCAAACACAAACTAAACATCCTACAGTTTTCTGCAAATACAACTGATGAAGGAAATCTTTCAGCTTGAAAGTCTAAAATGTTAAATATAATTAGGATAAATAAATGCACCACATCATTTAATCCACCATACAAACATGAAACAATAATAAGAATAATAAATGCCAGAAACTTAGGAGCTCAACCTCTAATTCATTCTCTTCCTTCATACTCCAAAGAGAGAGAGAGAGGGAGACCACATATATAGTAAAATAGTTAACTTAGGGAAGAGTGTATTGTTAATTAGCTTTGGAGGCCTGCTGCTGTGTTTTATTTATTTTTTAACAGCAGGGAAAAGAGTGCTTTTTGAATAATTTATGAAGGGGGGAAGCTATCCCACAGTCTGAAAAAGAAACAAACATCAGAAGCCCACTTTATGCTAACAATCAACAAATATCACCTGGAAAGTCTTATCACTTCCGATTGTCCTGTACTTAGCAAATTTGATTTTTTTAAGAGATCCTTATATTTAGTACTGGATGTCAGCCAGCCAGGGACCTGGGAAGGAAAGAATGAGCTCTATCAACCCAGACTTCTTCTGCATGTGAGGAATACCCCCCAGACATTTAATTTAATTTAACCAAAAATGATGTTTAATCTGATTGGTTGAATGAAATGGCTGAGAAATCAACAAGTACAAAAGGTTCAACTGTTTAGTAAGTGAGCCCTGTTAAAGGATGCTTCTTGATGTGTCTGATTGCAGTTAAATAATGATGGCACACCATGAAGATGGGTGATGTGTTGCCAACATTTTAGTAAGGAAGGAATCTCTCTCTCTTTCTCAAGAAAACCCAAACAAACTCCCTCTCCTTAGTCTGTAACAAAAGGCAAATTCCAAGGCATATGACAAACATGTAGATGCAGGAAAGAGAAACAGAGGAATGCATTTTGAAATTAAAGGCTACAACATTTTAACTTTAATGGAAGTGGGGACAGGTAGTCATCCCTCCACAAGAAATACCAAGCATTTATTTGGGTCCATTGTGTTGTTAAATGACCTTCACACCAAACAACCAATACTCAGGGTTAGCTTCTTCAGCCTGTTGAAGGATTCAGGTCACTGATGACTCTTCCTGTGCTCCCTAGTAAGAGGGAATAAGAATACACATAAGGACAACCTCCGTTTATAGAGACTTAATATTTCCTTCGCCCCTTCTCCCCCCTCCAGGTTTATAAGGTGCACTAGTTTTCACCTGGGCTGCAGGTTTACAAAATTACAAACTTGTTTATAAATATACAGCTTTTAAATCCACTCTGTATTGCCCTAAAGCCAGGCCTCCAGATATTGCACAGAAATAGGAAAAAGAAAAAAAAACCTCACCAATTACCAAGCAATCCTCCTGTGAGAGAAAAAAAAACTGTTTCCATATTCCAAAATCCTGCTTTCAGTCAGTTCGTAAAAATGTAATTAATACCATATATCTGTTAAAAAACAGGATGGCTGAAGTAGTGACCACAGTAGAATGGCTGATACACCCACTGGATGAGTCTACACAGCACAGTTATTTCAAAATAAGTGACTTTATTTCAAAATAATGCGAGCATCTACACAGCAATCCCATTATTTTGAAATAATTTCAAAATAATAGATGACTTATTTCGAAATCTGTAAACTTTATTCCATGAGGAACAGCATTTATTTTGAAATAGCTATTTTGGAATAGCAGTAGTTTGGCTACTCCACTGCTCCTATCTCAAAATAGCTTCTCCCCAGGGCCATTCAAAGTAATTACTTCCTAGTGCTTCCTGGGGCTCCAAGTTGAGGTAGTGTGTCCACATTAGTGAAGCCTGCCTTGGAGTAATTTTCAGACTTCCCTGTAGTGTAGAAGTACTATTTCGAAATAAGTTATATCTGAAAAAAATTGTGAAATAGCTTATTTTGAAATAAGTGTGCTATGTAGACATAGCCCTTATGAGCTTCACCTATATGCTGGGCATGTGAGACAATCAACTCCACTTCCCCCACATCCCACACAAACAAATAGCCCAGTTAATGGCAGCATAGAGAGATGGAGGAATCTCTCCTTCTCCCTTGCTTGTGTTCCCGCCCATTTCTGTCTTCATTCTAGAGTGGATGGGGAGAGGGCTCATGTGCAGGGTCCCAGAGATTCTTTATCCTACTTGTGGTATCAAATATCTGCCATGTGGATAATGCTGG